ACTTTAGGGAAAGAAGATGATAAATTTCGTGAACGAGTAAGGTCTTGCTTGTCTGAGTAAAATAATTTCAGTGACAAATAAAAGAGACAAAGAGGGAATTTTAACATAACATTTAAATAAGCATTTGGATTTGGCTAAATAACATTTACTACACACCAAATTGCTGTCAAATAGAGTTTTCTTCTTTCTTTTTTTCTTTCGCCATTTTTTTGGGGATGCAACATAGGTACTACAATAGGAGGATTTCCGATTAAATGGATCTTAGTGTCGGAAAGTATTAGTTATTGACTCTTGGCTGAGGGATATCCTGAGTTCATAAAACAAATGAGTACTACAATGCTTTATCTTCGTCCTTGGGTTTTTCAGAGAGATCGTGAGGTATCCTAACTTGAGTGTTAGACTAATTTGATTTGACCTTGTGCACAAAGTACTTCTCTAGTTGTGAATGTAAACAATAAGGAAAGATGTTAGAGATTTTATATTAACTAACATAGTCAAAATAGTATATATAAATCGGAAACAACACTTGCCTCATGAGCTAGTTTTTGAGATAAAATAACACCGAATACAAATTTTAAGATGGAATCACTGTATCAAAACCTTTGTTGTTGAGCGAATCTAACTTTTACTGAACCAACCCCATATTGGAGTTGAGTTAGACTCACATAAAACAAGAAAAGTGTATCATTCATTCATGTTTGGTAATTGATATTGGAACCTTAAGCTGTGTTAACATGAGCTGCAAAGGTGTTTGTAATGCCTTCTATTAATGGATGCATAAGCTGTGATCAATAAATGACTTTTAATTTACAGTTTATTGCAGCATGTAAGAAACCGCCCGTGTATTGTATCATAACAGAATACATGTCACAAGGGACCCTGAGGATGTATCTGAATAAGAAAGAGCCATACTCACTCTCAATGGAAACAATTCTAAGGTTAGCTCTAGATATATCAAGGGGTATGGAGTACCTTCATTCACAAGGAGTTATTCACAGAGACCTGAAGTCAAGTAATTTGCTTCTCAACGATGATATGAGGGTCAAGGTGGCGGATTTTGGCACTTCTTGTCTTGAAACACGATGTCGGAAAAGCAAAGGGAATTCTGGAACATATCGTTGGATGGCACCAGAGATGGTTAAGGAAAAACCTTATACTCGTAAAGTTGATGTGTATAGTTTTGGTATTGTGCTTTGGGAGCTCACAACTGCTCTACTTCCATTCCAAGGGATGACCCCAGTGCAAGCTGCTTTTGCTGTGGCTGAGAAGGTAACTTTGCTATGTCTAAACTCTAAATGATGTCTTCATATTATGTTAGTTGATTTAAGATAAACAATTGCATCACTTCTCTGACATATGGCGTGGTTTTGGACTATGGTTTGGTTGATGAATAAAATTGGATTTGGTTTAGAAGTACTTTTTAATTTAAAATCGCTCTTTAATGTAAAATTTGATTTAAAACTGGTTTTTAAACAAAAAATTATTTTAAAAATGGTTTTAAAATGAATTTTATATATAAAAAAATGGAATTTAATAAAATTGAAACCAGATATGGCATTATCAAGAATATGATTGGTTGGACAAGTTCTTAATTTGTAGATAGAATTGTACTCAATGATTGGTTGGTAATCAGAATTAAACTCAGTAAGGGGGTGATGAATAGATGAGGGAATTATATGGGAATTTCTGCCTTCAAACAGTTTGGCTGCTTAATAAGGATGAGGAAATTGTCCTTTGTACATTATTTGTTTCCGTTCCCCTAATGGAATCCAGTGTGACTAGATTAAAAAAAGGTTCAAAATCAAAACACAGTAGCTATGGACTTTTTTATTAATAGAAAATAGTAGCTATTAAAACTCTAGTAACTCTAAAACAGGAAGTTTGTCCGGGATCTCTCCCAGTACCCAATCTTTTGAAACCTCATACCATATCCTACAACAAGAATAATTTTTTAAACTTCTTAAAAAATGAATTTAAATATGATTAAATATTAAAAAAATTAATTTATAAGATAAAAATATATTGTACTTATATATTTTATATTAACCGTATCTCTAATCAATATATAGAATTTAGATTTTTTCTCAATAAAACTTTTAAAATCGTCTAATTCTATAACTCTTAGCTCCTGAGCCCTCAGTTCACGGATGTCATGGCCAATCTGATGAGGGAATCTGGTTATCAATTCCATTCTGATGGGTGCATCCACTATTCTTATGGTTTATGAGTATCTTTAAGTATTTTACCCATTCACTTCCCTTTTGGTAGTGTGTTGCCTTCCTTCAATCGGATGCATCACCATAGTTTCAGTGCCATAAGAAACTTTATGAGTTTCACGGAGTTCTGCTTCACAAAATTTCTAATTCAGTAATTCTCTTTCTCTTATCCTGTATGACAAGATGCCAAGTGTTACTCAAAACATAAGGAAGAGGTGAGGAGGACAAAATATTGTAACTACTAATACTCTTTTCAAGATTATTCCAGTGTCACTTCACTGTCATGGTTCACTTGGTCATATCACTTACTTATAGAATGCAATCTATATTCTGTGAAAGCAAAAGCAAACTAAAACCACAGATTACACATAGCATAAAATGTTCGTCCACTAATCTTAATTTCCATACATATATAGTTATCAGTGGTCACTACTCACTAGTCAGAGTTATTAGATTACACAAGGGGTTTAAAACATGACAGCAGGCAGCAACCCCTGAATTCCAGTCATGGAAATCTTGAATTACTTGAACTATGTTTAGGTAGGTATTGGGTTACATGTGCAGAACCTAACATGAGCAATGATCATGGATTATTTTAATCAAGAGTCCTTTGACAGAGTTAACTTTTTTGTTGAAAAGTGTAATAGTCGGTGCATGTGTCTTCTAGTCCTAATAATGGGAAGCACCGATGCATGGGCCTTGGATGTTTTCCCTCCCTAATTCCAACAAGCATCCCTTAATATCGCTAAGAGACCAACAGTTGTAACATTTTGGTGCATATATCTATCAAAAGCAGTCCTTGGATTTTTGCATAAAAGGTTAGCCGAAGTTGCATTGTCTCTATTTGTGCTTTCCCGTGAAGCATACAAATCCCCCTTTTTTTTCTCATTTTATTTCATAGTTATTCTTCTTCAGATTTAAGACTATTTGCTAGACCCAATTCATATTAGTGCACACACATCGGTTTCACCCCATATAACGAAGCCCTTGGATTTGAATTTTTTATTTGCTGAATTCCTTATGCTACTTGAATTGCAAATTGTCTGTGTACCTTATAATACTGTTTTAGTCTATACAAAAGATAAAATTTAAATTTAGTATTGTTAGAGTAATCAAAGTCAGTGTTTCGATAATATATATATATATATATATATATTTAATGTTGATCAAAATCAATAATATGCATAAATGCATATTATCAAAATCTATATTAAATATCAAAACATAAAATCTATAACACTACTTATATCTAAGTTTGTCTTAATGAAAATGCTTAATGCTGTCATTAGTGATTTCATATTAAAAAACTGATTTGAATTATTTTGATCAGAATGAAAGGCCTCCTCTGCCAGCTAGTTGTGAACCAGCACTAGCACATCTGATAAAGCGTTGCTGGTCAGCAAACCCCTCGAAAAGGCCAGATTTCAGTGATATTGTGTGCACTTTGGAGAAGTACGATGAGTGTATGAAAAAGGGCCTACCACTAAGTCATCATTCAGGGCTACTCAGCAGAAATGTAATTATTCAACGCCTAAAAGGCTGTGTGTCCGAGAGCTCTTCCATAACTGTACATGCTTGATTCCCCCATACATGGTATATATGATTATTGTTGTTATCTACCATATCATGCTCATATTACTTTACACACCCTTCATGTTCTTTCAACTGTATTATGTAACTGTGTTTCAGGAAAATATCAAGTTTGGCTCTTTATTTTTATATGGCCCCTTCTTTTTTAGTGGCTGTAAGATGAGTTATTAGGCTTGTTATAAAAAAAATAATCAAGATTTATACGATACTAAATGTGCCATACAACAAAATAGCAGCTTAGTAAGATGTTTAAATCCAATTGGTTAATGATAAGGTCAGAAAAAGAGGCAAGTTAGAGAACGGCTATGAAAAAAAAACATTATTTTTCATTTTATATTTTCTATATAATATTGTGAGAGAATTTATAAAAGGACATGTACCAGAATAGGAGGATTCAAAAAAATTCGTTCCTAAATTCTTGCCACTCATTATTATAATATTAACTTTTCCAATTACTTCTCATGTCTTTCATAAAGCCCATTCTTTATTAAAGATGCAAATTCACAATATTTAAAAGAAGGCAAAAAATAAAAAAACCACAATGTGAGAAGTCAACAAAGAGTTTTAAGAAGTAATAAAAAGTTAACAGCATTACTAAGACATAATTGTGAAGGAACCTAATGGTAAAGTCAGGAACGGTTCTATTCTTAATAACTACTACTCTATTTATCATTCTAAAGTTAAAGAGCTATTTATTTCACAAAACTTCTAGTTCAATATTCTATGTTCAAAACTTGTTAACCCTCTCCTCCATTTCTCTGTTATCCGCTGATCCTTATTATTTTTGCACGTACACTAAACTTTATAATAATTTTTGACTAAAGGCCAATGCCTCATGTATAACTAACAGCAAACAGTAATCAGAAGCAGCTCACCAACTACCAACAACCAGAGGCTAAGCGTACTCAGCAACATCCAACAGCATCCATCCACCAAACAACATGAGTGCAAAGTATCATCAGCAACTACTACTACATTCCACCTACCATCAATGCTGACAGTACTCTCAAAACTACACTACTCGCTATGATACCCTTGTCCTTCACTTTAATGTTATGTTTGACAGACGAAGGAAATTGAGGAAAAGGAAATCCTATATATGGTATAGACTAAGGGCTGATTGAGTAAATTTATCTTCTATAGAAGCACTTTTAGTAGAGAAATAGGAAGAAAAACTTAAAAAAGTTTATCTATTAGCTACAATTAGCTTATGCATAAGCTAATTTATAGAAATTCTCATTTAATTTCTCTAGAAACTTTATTTTAACAAATGTATAAGTCAATTTTAATTTATAAAAAACTTATTTAAATTTTTTTTCTTATTTTTTTTTTAAAGTGTTCTTAGAAGAGTTCTTACACCGGTATTATTATAACCATCATTATATATATATATATATATATATAAACTACAATCCCGTACCAATAAGTCGTTATTTGAGTGTTATCAATGTTAATGTTCCTAAATAATTAATAAATATTTTTTATTAATAATATTGTTATTTATAAATACAAACACATAAATACCCGTATTTATACTCAAATATATGCTTTTGGATCTTTAGACAATGAAGTATAATAATAAATAAATAAAAAAAATCCAAAGAAAAGGAAAACAAGGGAAAAATAATCCATCTTTAATTATTTATGATCTTCCTAGTTAATTCTTCCTATTTTCATGTCTAGACTATACCTGTACTGTGTTACTCTTTCTATTTTCTTTGCATTGAATCGGTCAAGGATACTTTGAAATATCGTGAATCATGACCACAGTGCTATGACTGGAATACAAAAGTTGACGACCGTAACACAGTGCAATTAATTAATAGTTATTGATTTTCTTAATTTAATTAATATTATGATTAGTTGTTTAATTGTTGTAAAATTCTAAGAATTTTAATGAATTTTGTTGTTTAGGAGTTGTTTTGAGATGATGTCAAATTGATTAATTAGGGAGAGGTATATAAGATTTTCTTTTAAGATTTGAGTTTCATAAATTCATTTCTTTAAAAAATTTATAAAAAAAGTTAGGGAGAGGAGTTTTGAAACTTGAAATAATTTCCTTTTCTTCCGAGTCTTCTACAAAGTGTTAAGATCTTCTCTAGAATTCAGTGATAAGAGTTATGTGTAGATTCAGGGCTTGACGGGCTGAGAATCAAGTGGTGGTGGTGGTTCCATGCAAAGTTCCCCAGAGAGTTTAGTTCTTCTTCTCCCTGATTCTAGGTGACTTAGAGGTAAGGAAAGTTATAACTTAAATTCTTGATGAATTGTCGAGTTGTATATTGCTTGATTTTCACTAAAATTGTGGTTGTTTTGATGAATGAGATGCATTTCTTAAGTTGTGAGTTAGTGTTTCTTGAACACATTGAGGCAATGTTGGTGAATCTTGTCTTGGTTGGTTGCATGTTGCTCTTGTTGATTAAAATGAATTGGCATTGATATGTGGTTGTTATTTGGTGTTGGAAATTTCTAAGTTTTAGGTGGATTTGAGCCAAAAACGTGAATCTATCTAGTGCAAAATTCATCATCGCGTTGGGTACAACTTCATAGTGTTGAGCGTGATCTAGGCAAGGAGTTCTTTGTCTCACTAATACCAGACGCAAGATTGGTAGCGTCGAATGTGAGTTAGAAGAAAATTATTTGACTCTCCTTGGATGATGTCGAACACCAATGTTGTGGCACCAAGCGTGAGTCAGGGAGAGGCTCTTTGCCTAAATGAGGTTGGACATGATTTTAGCCATGTTAAACATGATAGGTGTAGCAACCTCGAGATCGTGACGGGACAGCAAAAAATAAATTGAAAAAGAGGAGTCGCCACCAATGTTATTTTTTACGGAAAAACATTGGAAAAACCATAAAGTAGAAAATAATCTACGAAAACCAAATTTTTGAGTTCGGGAATCGATTACGTGTGAGGAAGGTATTAGCACCTCACAACGTTCGTCTTAAGACGATTACCTTTAATTAATTAAACTAATTATTTATAATTTATAAAATATTTATCTCACTAAAATGATCAAATATATTTTATTTAACTAATTTAACTAATGCATTAAAAAAAGTTAAAATTATTATTGTTATATAAAAAGGAAAATAATATATTTTTAATTTTTTTGGCTCGACAAGATTGATTTTTTGCTCCTACGTATCTCCATGTGTAATGAAGAATCAGAGTCACGTAGTTCTTTGTAGAAAATATTTGTGTGTTGATATTTTTAAATTAAATTTTATTTTTGTTAAATATAAGATTCTTGAACTGTCTCAGCTCATTCACCCTAAAAATATAAAATTGACTAAGGTGTACACCAAAGTCAATTCAATAAAATTTTAATTATAATTATTACTAGAGATGTTATGATGTTAAAAAATTTATTGATTGGACATTTTTGTTTTTGGAGAAAAAATTTAAAGATAAGCTGTCACAACTTGTACTTTAAATTCAAAGGTTAAAAAGATGTCACATCTAATTAACCATTCCTCCAAATAAAATTTTTAATACAATAATTTCAAATATTTATATTAAATATTGTAACACTATATTTTGATATTTAATCACATTTTGAATTTAAATAAGACTTTAAGATGATATATAAACTTTTTAAAATAACAGATATTACTAATATAAAAATAATAAATAAATAAATAAATAAAAAGTCAGTTCGATATACTCACTATTCTTCGCTTAAGAAGTGGTAACTTGTTGGTTTCTCCTTCTAAGCTCCCTCTGGTCCAAGGTGGAGATGTGTGTGTGGGTGTCTCTTTTGGGAAGGCAAGGACCGCTATTTATAGACTTTCAGGAGGGACCGGAATGGCCCGTTCTGGGGTTGCAATTTTACTCACAACGACCATTTTTGGAACGGGCTGTTCTAGTTTCGGAACGGCCCGTTCTGGACTAACATTTTTAGGTATTTTGGTAGTTCGGGAACGACCATTCTGGCCTAAAAACTATAGGTCTTTTTTGAAAATTGGAATGACCTGTTCCAGTTTGGGAACGGCCCGTTCCAGTCGTGGGAACGGCCCGTTCTGGGCTAGAAATATTAGGGCTCTTTGGAAGGTTGGAACGGCCCGTTCCGGGCTAGAACTTTTAGGGCTCTTTGGAAGGTTGGAACGACCCGTTCCAGTTTTGGAACAGCCCGTTCCAGGCTAGAAATTTTATGTCTTTTTCAAGGTTGAAACGGCCCGTTCCAATTTGGAACGGCCCGTTCTAGGCTAGAAATTATAGGTATTTTTTGAAAGTTGAAAAGGCCCGTTCCAGTTTGGGAACGGCCCGTTCTGGACTATTAAAATCATATGAAAATTACTAAATTACCCTCCACAAAAAGTATGAAAATTGAGGTGTTATATTTTTCCTTCTATATTTTTGTCTTTTTTATTCTTTTTTGTACATACCTTTTTTGCTATTTTTGTAAACAAAATTGACATTTTCCGGACGAAATTGGGTTACTACAATAGGCACAGCGGCTTTTTGTCTCGTTCACGTCTAATGTGGGTAGATTGACGTTAGGCATGGACAAGTTAGAGGCTTTCTATCTTAAGGACGTCAAGCACTATGAAAATGAAATTGGGTGTTAGATGCCAAATGAAAATGGGTTGTTTTTTTTTAACTAAGTGTTGAATATGTATGTTATAAGTTGAATTATTCACATGTTATTCATTGTTGTATGATTCTAGTTCATTATAACTTGATCTAGGATGAGGTATGTTGAAATATATATCTAATTATTATAACAAACTTGTTATAACATATTGAAATCATATATCTATTTATCTTTAAAAATATTAATCATGGTGTCCTAATTATTTTTTGTTCATGGACATGACCCCAAGAGTTCTTAATGATGATGATTAACCCTTTTGGGGTCTTTCTTTGGATGGTAGATTCTCTATGTGATCTGCATATGCTTTGCTTATTGGAATTCCCTTGGTAGAGTTGACAACCTTAAATGGAACAAATTCTGGAGGTGGAAAGGGCCACATAGAGTGAAAATTTTCCTTTGGATGATGTTGCAAGATGGGTTGAAGACAAGTGTAAGGAGAGCTTATTGTGATCTTATGACAATAATTTGTGTTAAATTTGCGACTACTGTGTCAAATCTGATAACCATATTCTTAGGGGTTGTTTACTTGTGCGTTCTATATTCTATATGGTTGATGAATTATGTCTTATTTATGATAAAGTAGGTTTTTAAATAAACTTTTAAGTCTAGTCAAACTTTTATGTACGTTAGGTCTTTAAAAAAAATTGTGATAGATAAATAGATTAGACTCATACCATATATTTTTAATTAAAGTTAGACCGGGGGTTAATAAAGTATAATTCAACTTGGTTTATTTCCCCTACTTACAAATTACATCAAATTATAAACACAAATATTATATATATATATATATAATGTAATTAGATAATGTTTATAAATATTAAAGATATTTATATATCTAATATTTTGGTGGTGTATGAGTAAAAATATTTTGAATACTTATCAATTAATTTATTTACTTGATAAATATAAAATTGTACTATGGTGGTCTCATATCGATTGAGAAGTCTCCCAAGCAAATGTCAGAGATTACGTACCATGGTTGCCTTTTATGAGAGATCTCCCTGGCGAATGTCAATGGCTATGTATAGTGGTGGTCTCTTACTAATTGAGAGGTTTCTCAAGTAAATATTGAGGTCAGATGTTAGATGACTCATTTACTCAATCAAACAACTAATAGTAAAATCCTGTGATTCATAGAACGAGCAAAATAATAATCATAAATACCTAGATTTATGAGTCTATTAATAATAATAATGGTATATTGTGATTTGTAAAATCATAACAATAAACATGAGATATGTGTTTATAATTAACACTATGTTGACACATAAAAACTATTAAATTTAAGAAAGTTAATTTTGATTACTCACTAAATGTTTTGGACTGAAATGTTAATTAGAACTTTTAGTGATTTTCTTTCGCACTAGAACAAAAACATATGGAGGCAAAGATAAGATTGTTCGTGCCTACAAACCAATAATATAATTAATGATGCTCAATATTATTAAAGTAATAAAGTTGATTTACTGAATAAGACAATATATTTTATTTTATAATTGACTTAATGTAAAACAAGCTTTGAAAAAACAATAATAGAAGAATGTTGCTAAAATTAATTGGAAAGTTGGTAGATGTAATGGAAATGAGGTTGATATCTGAGTTTTAAAGATTTAACTATATTTTTTTAGTTGTTATAATTTTATAAGTTTTATTTTTTAATTTTTATAATTATTAATTTTTATTTTAGTCTCTACATTATTATATATTTTCTTTTATTCCATATAGTTATATAAATTTTATCTTTTAGTGTTGATTTTAAAAACTTTTCTTTTAATTTTTGTAATTACATGAATTGTCTCTTTTAGTCTTTATAAAAATAATTGACAAAAATTATATATATATATAGACTAAAAATAAAACCAATTTTAAAACATAGAAAAAATGAGATAATTAAACCAATTTAAAAAAAAGTGTGATGAAATGAATAAATGAAAATGGGTGTAGACAAGGGAGACCAAAGTTTGGAATCAAGTGTCCAAATATTTTATTGTGCTTCCTTCCCTTTACCCGGAGCCCCTACTTTTGCCGACCTCGTTCTTCGTCACACACACCTACCCTCTTCTTATTCCTATCGTTCCACTTTACACACAAATAATGCTACTTTTTAGATTTTATTTTATTTAAAAAACCTGAAAGGGGAAAAAAAATCCAAGATTATCACTTAATTTTCCAGTTTCCCTAAATTATTTCTCGAGTAGTTACTGGTTTTTTATAAGAGAAAATAATTATTTTAGTCCAAAAATGGTACATAGTATCACATTACTTTTTTTTAAAATTAAGAAAATATTAAAAGAATTTTAAAATACCAAATAAATTCTTAAACTTTTTTATTTATTATCATTTTAGTCCCTAAACTCATTTCCTATATACTAGATACAAACAACTATCTAATATATGCACATTTCAGGAACTCCTTTTAGAGAGTATTTTTTAAAAAAATTCTTTAAGAAAAAATATTTTAGAAATATTTTAAAAAATTTATTTATTTTAATTATTATTTATCATATAAATTAAATTTTAATATTGTAAAAATAATTAATTAATAACTAAATATAATATTGTATCATGATATAAATTATTTATTATGAATAAATATAATTAATATATTTAAAATTATCTATTTATTTAAACTTTAAATATATTTATATATTCATTCAAAATAAATATTAGTATTATCTTTTGCTGAACTCAAAAGAAATATTTAATCCTAAATACTATTATTATTACTATAATAAATATTTAAAATATTATATAATTTTATCCTAATAATAATAAAATCTTATCATAATAAATTTATAAAATATCACAAACATATTTAAAATTATAATAATTTTTTTTACTAATATTTATAATAAAAATATTATATTATAAATAGTTATACCTCAATTATCATTATAAATAATATTCTTTTATTTCGATGTAATTGAGATTTTTATTTATTAAGTTTTATAGCTAGAGTTTTTGTCTTTCAAAATATGAATTATTTGAAAAATGGCAAGTTGTGTTTAAGACGAAGACTTTTGGCCTTTTATTTTGTTTTTGTTTTTTTTTTTTTAAATAATACTTTTTATGTTAAAATAATATTTTATGTTAATTTTTTTAAAAAGAAAAAGAAAAAGAAGAAGTCGTAATTTAAAACACAACTACCATTTTTTTTTCTTTTAGAAAAGAAGTTATTTCTCTGAAAACACGACTTCAAGACACACGACATTTTAGATTGTTTTTTTTTTTAAAGTTACTCATTTCGAAAATTTAAAAAAATAAAATTATCCTTGGTGGACTAAAAAGCCAACATAACTATCAACTAATTATACATTTTCATACTATTAAGATTATTGGATGGAGTTGCTTAAGAGTGATATTTATTATTGTCATACTATTTTTTTTATTTATTTATAAAAGTTATATTCTCTATGATATTTTCTTTTATATAAGAAAATAAATAGATACACTTTTTATTCTAATTATAAAAATAAATATTTATTTTAAAATATATTAATTATTAATTTTTTTACATGTTTATACAAGTAAATGTATTTATTGATGCATTAATTATATAAGTTCCACTAATCAGTAGAAAAAAATTATTTTTTAATTAAATGTGCATCATTTAATATTATCATTATTTAAAATTTTAAATCAATCAATTTAAAAAATATTTTTAAAATAAAATTTAATTCTACGATGTTATTAATGAAAATTAATCATCTTAACTATTTTTATTGATTAATTTTAATAAATAAATTATTTATTTCTTATATAAAAGATTGAAAGGAATATAATTAAATATTATTATTTTTTATAATAAATACTTTCAAAATATATTTTAGATAATTTTTAGTTAATTAATAATAAAAAAATCTTTACATATAAAAAAACTCACATTTAAAACTTTAATTTTATATAAACTTCGTAAAAGATCAAAAATTTAGTATTGTGAATCGACATAATATCACCAAAGTCTTATGTTCTAACTCACTAACTTTAATTTGTTGAAAGATAAAGTTCAAACATTATTTTTTATATGTATTTTTTTAGACATTTTTGTTCAATTAAAAATTTATTGACTCCTTTTAACAGATATTTGAATCTTAATGCACCATATTTTAAAAAACTAATTCGATCTTTTAAACTCAACCTTCATTAATAATATAAAAATATAAAATTAAAATTTACTATACAAAAAATTTAAAAATTTCTTACATAATTAAATTTCTTTACCTAAAAAATCTCTATCACACAAACCAACATAATACATGCTATCCCAAGCTGTTACAGTACTAATTACAATGCTCTATTTTCATGTTTTGCAGGAAGGACAAATTATCTCATGGAAAATAATTTTAATTTTAAAATCCATGATAAAAAGAAAATCTATAGTATCTATTTGTAAGAATATTAAAATCTGATTTATTTTCTGTAAAAAGTGTTTTAATTAATTTTATTTGGTCAAAATATACATAAAAGAACAGAAACAAGAAATTTAACAAATCAGTTTTTTTACTTTTTGAATTTAAGAATGTATATATATATACACTTACCAGTCAATACATACAGTATGTAGTTTACCCACCAGACAAGGCTTGATTTTCAATGACATTCTCGTGTATTCACTTGTAGGTTTCTTCAAAGAAGGAGAGACAAAGATAAAGACTGCTACAATGTAGAAAATTTCCTTGAAGACATGAATTGGTCAAATTAAAATTCTAGACATTAATTAGGGGCGAAAATTCGAATAAATTAACCATTTTTGACCTAAAAATGTACCCTTTCAAAGACTGAACAAACAAATAACTTTACTGATATTGAACACCGAAAATGAATAACCAACAGTTTTATCCGAGTTTAAGTTCAACTAAATCGAGATTAAAGCCTAATCTTGAGACATCCCTAACCACTCAAACAAAAAAGGACACTAATTACAAATTATTTTCATACCTTAAACCTTAACAGACATCACTAAGCACTTAGCAAGAAATTAAGAATAGAACAAGGAGATGCAGAAATTGAACTCATAATTTGACATATATGGCTTGATTGATTATATATAACAAAACTTTACCCCTGAATCACAAACAGCCATTACTCTTAAACATTCCAGGGTAGTAGAGATTAATGTACAAAAACAAAAAAGAAAAAAGAAACTTCAAGAGAGGTGGATTAAATCTTAAAATCTAAACCTACCTTTCCTCTTGTTTTTTCTCTTCCTTTCTTCATTATCCAACTTGCTTGCAAATAACTTTTCATGCTCTCACTGTCCCCACCCCCAAATCCTTTCACCAATGAAACTCACGAACTTCCTAACCGAACCCTTATCTTCAACCGAAACCCCTTCAGCAGGGTCAGCGCCGGCACTAGGGTTACTCTCCGGCACGGATTCCGACTGGGGCGAGTCGCGACTCGGCGAGCTCGGTAACTCGGTGGAATGAGCGTGTTTATTGGCGATACTACTACTACTAGTGCATCCCTTCTTGTTCCTCTTGTCTTTCTTTCCCTTGCCGTTCTTCTTACCCTTGGTGGCGCTCTGCGCCAAGTTATCTTCGAAGGCGTCGATGATCTCGTGCAAGAGCTGGCGATTGGGGGACTCGTCCCACCTCACCCAGTAACTGGTGTAGCAGGCGAAGCAGCTGCAGCTGAAGAGAGGGGCGTGGTCGGCTTCCACGGCGGCGCTTCTCCGGCGGGGCTGCCCGGGGAAGTTGGAGGTGGCGGCGGAGGAGCAGGAGAGGAGGTAGGCGAGGATTTCCCTGTCGTCGGGAGGGAGCGCGGCCGCGAGGGCGAGGATGGCCGCCGGGAGGAAGGCGAGCTGGTCGGAGATGAGCGGCGGCGAGGGGTGGACCGTCCCTTTATGGTAGAGCTTTTTCATGGTGAAGAGTGGAGAGAGAAAGTGTTGTGTTGTGTTGTGTTGTGTTGCGTTGCGTTGGTTACTCTTTCTCTTTTCTTATCTAACGCCGAAGCGAACCGAACCCAAGGAGAGAGAATATGGGACTTTCAACTTTCAACTTTCAAGGGTTGGGTACTTGCCTTCCCTTCCCTTCCCTTCATAATCAGGGTTTCTTTTTCTTCCCTTTTCTTTTTTTAAAAATAAATAAATAAATTACATAGCTAGGTATTGGAGTTGGTGACGTAGATTTTGGGCTAGGGAAAATGTTCCTCTGCGACGCCGGACTTTCTCTAACACTCTACACACCATTCCCTCTTTTGTCCTTCTTACCTGCCTATGCCTTTTCAACCTCTTTCATTTCATTATCTTCTTCTGCCTTATGCTCTTCCTAAGTCCTAATTCACTTAATCATCACATGATCCATGTCTATGATTTTCTTTTTCTTTTTTTTTTACATAAAGATTTTAATATCTATTGTTATGTTATAAATGTATTTTTATAATTAAAAATAATAATGATTTGTGGCGTATTTTTTCTTCTTCATAATAATGATAGTGTTATAAAGAAACATAAAAGAAGGAACCCTTAAATCTTAAATGAAGTCTCTCTCCTGCAACTGCCGCAAATACGTCATATGCTACATTAGGGTTTTGTTTGGTGGGATTGGTTTGGCCTATATAGCATACATAAAATCTGTGACGGCATTTTTACTCCCTCACATGAACTTGTCACCTCCATTATTATTATTATTATTATTATATGGATTCTATATCGTTATCACCATCATGCTTTATCGTGAGCACAGTTCATTTATCTTGCCGATATTTTGTTTTAATAAAACCATGAAATTATAGAGCATTTGATTTCAGGGTATTTAATTAGTATGGAGTAATGATATATGATTTTAATGTAACTTCCTTTCATTTTTATTAAATTTGTAACCATTTTTAACCTTGCGTGTAGGTGAATCTTGTTTTAGTTCAAACTTTCATTTCATATTAAATTTCTTTTCAATTTTCTTCCCATGATTAACATTTTCTGCATTAAAAGATAATCGAAGTTTTCATGCCAAGCGGATCCAAATTTCAAATACAATAATCAAATGAGAGTCATTTTCATATTACTCTTTTTCAATTTTTAAAAAGCATGGGTTCCATCTAAATATAATTATAATAAATAATTTAATACTTCTATCCTTAATTAAGGATCGAGATTTAATTTTCACTTATTTACTAAGTTATGATAAAATATATTATTTTTCTTTTATAGAAATTGTTTTATTTTTATAGGAATCAATCTTATACATTTATTGTAACTCTTTCATTATTGGATCAACTAAAAATGTGTAAAAAAAAAAAAAAAACTAGTGTTCAAAAGTCAAATTGTTTTTAGAAAAAAAAGTTGACGAATTAAACTAAATTATATTTGTTGGCTATAAATGATTCACACAATATCTCAAAATTAGTAAACATAAATTAATCTATGTTCATAAAATGTGATTTCTGTTGATCAAATATTATTTTAATATTATAAAAATTGATTTTAAGAGTATCAAATAGACCTTACAACTCCTAAATTAAAATGTTTAATTATTTTTAAGATTACTTTTAAGAGTTAAATATTAAATAATATAAAAATAAATATAATTTTTATCAATATAATTTAATCATATTTTTTTCTCTAGGCATAGATTCACTTAAAAGTGATACAATTTACACTTTTAATTTAATTTTGATAACAATTAAAGATCAGTCTTACAAATTTAATAATTAAACAATATATAACCATGGTTTTAGTAGTGAATGTTGGAATAATATGTACAAAGTTTTAAGTTTAAATATTGTTATTATTATAATCATATTAATAACAAAAAAAATCAATTAAATAATACTAAAAATATTTAATTAATATGTTGAAAATAATTTATAAAATTAACAATTTTCAACGACATAATAATTCATAATTAATTCATTAATAATATATAAGAAATATTTATAAAATTAAATTTAGTTAAGTTATATAGTTAAAATTTGATTTTATGCTAAATACAATATTGTATAATTTATAGCTTGATAATACATTGTATAGTATATTAAGCTATAAATTAGCATACAATTATAAAAGTGATATTAAATAATAATTCATATTTTCAATAAAAAACATTTTAATTAATTATGTAATAAAAATCAATACATGTAAAATTTACTTATAATCCATTTATATTAAAAAAAATATTTATAATTGAAATAATTAATAACTAGTATTTTAGCATGTGTAATTTACATATTAAATGTTTATGATATATTACAAAAATTTAAAATAAATAATGTATATATATATATATATCAAAATAAAATATCAATACAATTTAAAACATGATTTTCTTCAAATAATAATTATAACAAAAATATCATAATTAATAATATATTTAAATATAGTTATAATAAATAAAAATTAAATTAAATATCAAGTTAAAAGAATCTCTAAAACTCTTTCATTGAAAAAGATTTATCTAAAAATACTTTTGTGGAAGATAGACGTTTATGTTTTATATACAGTGATTGATTTATACAGTAACACAAAATTATTTTTATTTATTAATAATTAATTTTAAAATATTAAAATTTAATTTGTAAATAATTTTAAAATATTAATATTTAATTTATAAATAATTGTAATAATTAAAAATTAAATTAGATAAGAAGTTTAAAAAAATTCTTACAAATTATCACAAAAAATTTAAAAAATATTCTCGCATAAGATAAATATTCGTATTTAGTATATGAAAAATTTAGATTTTTTTTTCAATATAAACTGGTTGGTCTAGGATGATTTTTTTAATTAATAATTAATATTTTTTCTTCCGATAAAATTGGTAACTTTTTGTTCCTAATTTTGAAAGTCCTCACTTTTTCATCCCTATTTAGTATATTGCAACAAAGATCTTAAATTGCAACAATATTCAGTTATGCACCAAGAATAACGGAATGGGTTTCATAAATAAATTTTACATGTGTACGTTTAAACAAATAGTCAAATACTATATGTCTGCGAAAGTGTGAATAACTAAATAGTAAATACTACTTAGATTTTTTTATTTGTTTTTTTGGTATAACGAATATTACTTGGATAAGAAGCGTGTACATCGGAGAAAAACGAGTGTATGGTGCAAAATAAAGGGTAATGATTAATGAATGAGCCGGGGTACAATTCTTCCTTGTATACAAATAAGTACTTACTAATTAAGAAAGCTTAACAACCAAAAATATCTGATAAACTTTGACCACATCAAAACTTATTTAATGCAAAACAATATTCCAACATAATGCTACAAAGAAAAAAGACAACGTCCCAACAAAAAAAGTCCACGCTATTTTTAGAAGAAGAATTAAAAAAAAAAAAAAAAGATATTTGGTTTGTTTTTATTTTTTATTTAATGAATTTTTATTGATAATTATAAAATTCTTACTTTATTTTTATTTTTATTTATAGTTTTGAAATTGCACGAAAAGAAAATTATAGAGAGGAAGACAGTGTTTTTTTAATATATATTTTATTTACAATGATGCGTACTTTATTTGAAATTAGTATTTTAATCTAGGTATTGTACACGACACATATTTTTTTTATATAATTAAAATTAATGTCAAACATATTTTTAATATATAAATTAATTTAAATATAGTTATAATAAATAAAAATTAAATTAAATATCAAGTTAAAAGAATCTCTAAAACTCTTTCATTGAAAAAGATTTATCTAAAAATACTTTTGTGGAAGATAGACGTTTATGTTTTATATACAGTGATTGATTTATACAGTAACACAAAATTATTTTTATTTATTAATAATTAATTTTAAAATATTAAAATTTAATTTGTAAATAATTTTAAAATATTAATATTTAATTTATAAATAATTGTAATAATTAAAAATTAAATTAGATAAGAAGTTTAAAAAAATTCTTACAAATTATCACAAAAAATTTAAAAAATATTCTCGCATAAGATAAATATTCGTATTTAGTATATGAAAAATTTAGATTTTTTTTTCAATATAAACTGGTTGGTCTAGGATGATTTTTTTAATTAATAATTAATATTTTTTCTTCCGATAAAATTGGTAACTTTTTGTTCCTAATTTTGAAAGTCCTCACTTTTTCATCCCTATTTAGTATATTGCAACAAAGATCTTAAATTGCAACAATATTCAGTTATGCACCAAGAATAACGGAATGGGTTTCATAAATAAATTTTACATGTGTACGTTTAAACAAATAGTCAAATACTATATGTCTGCGAAAGTGTGAATAACTAAATAGTAAATACTACTTAGATTTTTTTATTTGTTTTTTTGGTATAACGAATATTACTTGGATAAGAAGCGTGTACATCGGAGAAAAACGAGTGTATGGTGCAAAATAAAGGGTAATGATTAATGAATGAGCCGGGGTACAATTCTTCCTTGTATACAAATAAGTACTTACTAATTAAGAAAGCTTAACAACCAAAAATATCTGATAAACTTTGACCACATCAAAACTTATTTAATGCAAAACAATATTCCAACATAATGCTACAAAGAAAAAAGACAACGTCCCAACAAAAAAAGTCCACGCTATTTTTAGAAGAAGAATTAAAAAAAAAAAAAAAAGATATTTGGTTTGTTTTTATTTTTTATTTAATGAATTTTTATTGATAATTATAAAATTCTTACTTTATTTTTATTTTTATTTATAGTTTTGAAATTGCACGAAAAGAAAATTATAGAGAGGAAGACAGTGTTTTTTTAATATATATTTTATTTACAATGATGCGTACTTTATTTGAAATTAGTATTTTAATCTAGGTATTGTACACGACACATATTTTTTTTATATAATTAAAATTAATGTCAAACATATTTTTAATATATAAATTATATAATTAAAGTTCACAATAAATAAAAACTAGTTTTTTTGTTTGAGTGGAATTAGACTTAAACATTTTAAATAAAGTGTTAGGTTTGAGTTTTGGTAAATGAAAAAATATAATTACACTCATTAAAAATGTTTAATCAGATTTTTTGACAAAGATTATAGACATTGATAAAGTTGGCGAGTATTTTGTATTGATAACATAGTTATAAAAAAGGTTTAACAATAAATGAATATCTTAAATTATATTTTAGATTT